AATTATATCAATAGAAAGTATGTCGCTACCGTGTTAAAAACCTTAATCATTTAATTCTACATTATAAATTTCAATCACCAAGTGATCATCATCAAGAGGAAAATTAAACAGTTTAAGATTAAACAGTTTAATCTTCCAAACATTGCTGTTGTTTCAGTGCAAGAAAAGTAAAACTTTTTTTGTGCTGTCTTCTAACCTATATATAAATATCCGCACAGTAATTTCTACCCATTTGATTCACTCTCATTACTAATACATTTCTTTGCAAGAAGTATAATCATAAAACTAATTCCACAATCACGAGAAAATTTGTGTTTAGAATCACTTCGAGTTGGACTGTCAAATTGCTCATAGATTAGAGCTAAAAGAAATAGGAGGAGAATCGAAATAATAAAATTGAAGCAACTATACTAGTGTCAACTTGAAGCAGTTATCAACGACCTTTTACAAGTATGGGGTAGATGAACTAGTTGATTTTACATCTGCAGAAAATACTCAAAATCTCAAATCATAGGAAGAAGGAAACCACCAAATTATAATGAAGTTCATTATTTTTCATAAATTGGCCTTAAACCAGTTGAAAATGCAAAGGAATAATGTAATATGATAATTATGTAATATAATAATAATTCTGAAAAAGGGGGTTGGTTGGGTAACAGGATCAATAAAAAAAAAAAATTGTATTCTTGCCAAAGTTTCGAATTTAATTAAATTCTTCTTCAGGGCTCGAAAAGTAATTTTTTCGTGTTGATAATATTACTATTTTAAAANAAGTTTCACTTAAAGCTAAAGAAAAGTAATTAAGCAATACTGTCTGTAGTATATGAGCCCACCACCAAAGCTATAAGGCACATTTCAGTGGTCTCCTCTAAGGAGTTCCATTAGGAGGTTGAAACTAGGTCCTTCGCCATCTTTCGATTTGATGGTTAACATTTCTTTTCCCACCTAAAAACAAGAATAACAATCAATAAACTTATCAGATAATTCATAAGTGCTAACTTGATAACGTTATATGCATATTGCACTACCTGACTACTAAATACTATTGACTACCTAAATACAAAATACACCATAAAATTATTATAAGGTGGTTTCTCTGCACCCATAACAGTGGAGTTTCTCAAGTCATATGTCATAATTAATGCAAGCACAGACTTTTAAAAGATCACAAAATATTGTGGTAGCCACTTCACCAGAATTTATATAGATAATTTCAATAACTTCATAAAAGACGTGAACTGACATAAAGTGAGTGTATTTTATTCAACTAGGTATGTGAGTTTTCTTCGTCTCCTGAAGATGCCAACTTGGTTGGCGTCTTGGCACAAGTTGAGGGGTATTGCATTTTTGGTGACTGGGAAAGATGTTTGTTTTGGATTAATTGGAAGACCCATTCAGATTCCTCTCTTTATGTGAAGAAATAAAAATGGCAGTTTTCAGGGAAAAATTGAGAATTATCATTGCTTCTAGTACAACTGAAAGATGCAGATTTGCAGATAATCCATCATATAATATTAAGAGTTTCAATTAGTTCATAAAAAATGCAGTCATACAATAATCGGCTATAATCAATTTCATGTTTTCGATATTGAAGAACTAATACTATGGATCAGAAAAATATTGCTAACCGTGAATAAAATTTCAATAATGTATAGAAAAATTGAAAAGAATAAAAAAGAATAGATAAAACATTTCAAAGCTAGCTTCTTCATAAGATTTTGATTGTTGGTATCTACAATCATTTATGGGTGATGGATTATTTGGATTTTTTTAAATAATAGAAGTCCAAGCCTTCTACACTCACTCCTCTCACCTCACCATATCTTACTACTAATTTCCTTCTCAACCTTATTTAATGACTCTTTATTATTTAGGGTAAAAAAAAATTTCAATCACCTTTCTCTTGCCTTGCAAGAGAATCCCAACGAATAAAGTTCCGAGAAGATGTGAGAAGACCTATCATACCCTGGATGAACATCATCAAGATTCGTTCCACTGAAAACCCTTATTAACATATTTTAACACATTATACTTATTATACATGTTTTCATGTTTTTGTTCTGTTAGTGGTTAACGGAAAAACAGATTTTGATACAGATTTTTGAAACAGTTTTCAGTTATTTTTACATTGATGCTATAAGATATCATATTTCATATTTTACAAGCTTTTTCAATAAGAATGTACTTTAATGAAATGAATGAAAAGACTTTTGTCTAATTTCCACGGTTTCGGGTTTCATCCCATTTCATTATTATCATGAATTTCCACAAAATAAACAAGTCATCAATGATACGAATGAAAATGTACTTTTTCAGACAATAAAGCATATTCTTTCTCCCTTCCAAACATCTCACATTCAGCAAGAAATATTATCCAACGCAATAATAGAAGCCATGATATCAATCCTTAGCTTTTTCTTCAATACTGTTAAAAGTATTTTTATGCTACTTCATTGAAAGACCTAATTAACACCAAGAATCAAATAATATAGGAGTGATAGTGATCTTGTTTGTACAATTTTGTCTCAATACTCTTCAATTAAATATGTTTCAGTTTTCATCTAAATGTTTGGTAAAGAAATTGAGGAAGACAAAATGTATAATCCACAGGAAAAAGCATTTGTTTCATTTTAGGCTTTCAGTTCATATCTGAAAAAAATCTGTGGATTATCTAAACATTTTATATATAGTACGTTCATATCAATACTTAATTTTTCTTCCTTGTATTTTGAAAAAAATGTTTATTTTGATATTGGATGAGCAGGAATGAAAAAACGTTGTTTTTCAAACAATAATAAGTCCAATTTTTTTTTTCAAAAATTCAATGGTTGGTAACTTATTGTGACTTTCATTATTTCTCCCGAATATTGGATGAACTTTTTACTGATTAATAAAGTCATTCAAAGTAAACAGACAAAAAGTACACTGTATGTAGACTGTAGTATAAATAAATAAACAAACTTACTTGGCAAGTTCGCTGCAACTCGGGAATCCTTAGAAGCAATTCTCCAAATTTGGAAGGACTTTCAGGATAATGTGACAAAGTGTAATCCTGAAGAGCTTTCAAAGCTTTTTCTTGTGAAACCCTTACCCTCTCAGCCTCCTTCAACTCAGAAGTGTCTGCAATTTAATTAGAAATATTTTAGTCATTTTAAAAGATCAATTAAAAACATCAACTTGTCTTTCACTGAATTTTTATTCTCTTGCAAAATATTATGAACTTCTGTATTGAAGTAGATGTAACTTTTGGTTGTTGACAGTGATTGGAAAATAGAGAATGACTTTTCTTTGAATATCAAAAAACCAACGTAAATACACAATATGTAATTCATATTCAAATATTTTCGTTTCAATGCTCTTTTCAATTTTTTCAAAGACATCAGTTTAAATTCATCGGAGATTGATTTATACACTTGTGCGATCTGCTATGAAACAAATTTTTAAAATAATTATGTACGGTGTGTAGTCTTCCCCTGTAAGGAATGTTGATATTGTGAACATCTGAACGGTATGACAATTTCTTGTATAAATATTTGAGAGCTTTTTCGATGATGATTTTTAGATATTAACAAGCAGCATGTAATTATTTCTGTTTTGCTATATTGAGCCAGTTGGTACCGTTGAGTTTATGTGATATATGTTGGCCACGTCTGATGCCGTGTATTAAACGTAGGTAGACACAATTGTTTTGAACAACCTAAATTCTTCGCTTGTCTTCATAATCAAGAGATGACCCATAAATTGTGCTTCAAAAATTGAATCTGGATAATAAAAGAAATTCACAGAGTATGGTTTTTACTTTTTTGTTAAGACATTGTCTGTTGGTATAAATTTGTTTGATGTTTATATAAGCAATATTGATACATTTATTGATGTGACGTATAATCACGTTAGAATCATAAATGGTACCTAAATTTTGTGCATGCTCAGTCAGTGCAACCACATCCTTATCTACAGTTAATTCGGTACAGTTTGCGAAACTTGAGTACAAAGTTGTCAGATAATAGTCATGCATCACTGGAATATATAAATTTTGAAACATGACTTTTGACTTCATTACCAGTTCTTCCACCAAAGAAAGACGTGACTTCAAAGAAGAAAGTAATACTCAGCAGCAAGACCATCAAAATTTTCAGCTTTTGATGAGCCACGGGCTATGTATAACACTGACAAATTGAGACAGTAGCCAACACTAATGGATGGTTAAGATAAAACATGCGACTGCGCTAATTCTAACAATGTGACTTCAAGCAATAGAAACACTGCAGAACGTTCCAAGAAGAAGCCAAAACAAATATCAAAGAATATGGAAGCTCTGGAAATGCGATGAGAATTACAAAATTAAAGCAGATATGAGTTTTGTGACTGCGTGCCAAGGACGAATTGCAAAAAAAAACGTAGGGAGAACATTTGACAATTACCATGGAAAATTTTTACCTTCAACCTAAAAACGTGAAATGATTTAAATTAAGGGTATGAATAAACTAGGCACATAATTTTTCAATATACAAAAACAGCTAATAACTTCACAGAGAACGGGAGTGTGAAAAATAGGGGTTACATATATCATTTATATTTCAAAAAATGAACTCGCTTTACGGGATCATTAGAAATGTACCAAAATCATTCAGTTAAGATGAAGTAACGCCCTCCTTTCAAAATCCTATGCATTAAAAGGTTAAATGGAACAGTTCGTAAATAACACTGTATTTCAGGATTTTGGCTTTCTACTTCTCCATCGTTGTACAAAAAAGTGGGAATATTCCAAAGAAAGGAAGGAAGCAATCAATTTCAAAAAGGGAACTTTGTATTCACATCAATTCAGTCAGCCTTGAAATCATTCACACATCCTCAAAATAGTGCCTAATTTGATAACTCCTAACAAGCAAACAGAGTAGCAGAATTTTTCAACAGTTTTATGCAAATCCCATAAGAAGACAATAAACTTGAATAACGTCCAACTATCTAATACAGCCAAACTTCTAGGTATGGTGCTTAGATGAAATTTTGTCTTTGGATCTTTACATTGATCATGTGCGCAAAAAAACTGAATCGGGCTATATTTGCAGTATGTCAAATTAAAAGAAGTGCTAAACTTAGATGGTATCAAGATTGTATATTATTCTTTTGCCTATTCTCACATGGCTCAAAATATACTAATGTGGGGTACTTTTGTTGGTGCAAGATGTGTGTTCATTCTACAAAAAATAATAATCAGAATTATATATGATATTGCATTGAGAGACAACTTAAGGGGTTTGATTTTTGAAACATAAAATAATAACTCTACCCTGCATTTATACTTATAAAGCTCTGATTCATGATTCATGTCAAATATAAAATAGTCAACCATAATCACGAGTCTCTCACTCATAATTATGCAATGGGAACTAAACACTTAAACATCCCAAAACACAAAACGTCGACATTCAACAAATCTCTCAAGTATAATGGCACTATATTTTTCAACTTATTTCTACAGAATATCAAGAACCTACATAGAGTATCTTCCAAGGACCGGATCAGAGAATTATTGACGAATATGGGGTTCCTGCAAAGGGGTGTGTTGATGTAACTTGTTCTCACTACATATTCCTATCTGATTTTCTGTTAACCTTTTTAATTACATAGAATTATATCATATTGTTTGAGAAATAATTTATTCATTTAGAAAAATGTGCATCTGTTTCTCTATATGCAAAAAACCATAGTTATTGACGTCTAAATGGGTGTATATCGGTTTATAGTGTGTTAAATAGTGTTCATATGTACATAGATTTATTCATTTTCTGACATGTCTAATATCATGTCTAAAAGACGAATCAACCAAAAAAAGAATCAGAATCAAGCTTAGGGAGCTGATAAACACTATCGACTGTCTAGGCTGCCGCCAGACATTGATTCTCCACGTAATATTCAAAAAAAAACAGTGAAATGACCACAATAGAAATGTTAAAAATGATTCATCGGAATTTGTGAAGTATTAATAAAAACAGAAGCAACCTTAATAATCTAATTCACGACAATCAACTCAACAAAACTTACAAGCAAAATACACTTTTTTTATGAAAAAGATTGAGGGTGATTTGGCTCTTTCATCAGGAAGGAGAGCCACAAAATTTTTATTAAAAATTATGATGTTTGATCATCACTTATTGTCCTTTTGGAAAAACTTTCTGTCTATACAATACTGGTTATCAGTATGTGAAGGGAATCCCCTATCTTTTTGAAGCCCTTAATTTGATGGAACCCTAAAGGAAGATATGCATTGCACAAACAAAATTATATCAATAATTTATAGTGATAAATCTAATCTATAGCGATAAATTTTGTTTTGCAAATTCCTACTTTTCTGCACCTGGTTGCTACTAATCTGAAGCATTTTGAGGCTAATAATCTCACACTGCTGTTGTTTCAGTGCAAGAAAAGTGAAACTTTTCATATATTAGAGTTAAACATAGATTAGAGCTAAAAGAAACAGGAGGAGAATTGAAATAATAAAATTGAAGCAATTATACTAGTGTCAACTTGAAGCAGTTATCAACGACCTTTTACAAGTATGGGGTAGATATCATAAGATTAACTGAAACAGCCTGTCAGCCTATCAAGCTCTAAGCAGCTCCAGTTTAGGTGTTCATCAGCAGTTGTGATCTCTAGAACTAGTTGATTTTACATCTGCAGAAAATACTCAAAATCTCAAATCATAGGAAGAAGGAAACCACCAAATTATAATGAAGTTCATTATTTTTCAAAATGATAATTCCATGGTATAATTAGTTTCAAAGTATACTGAATTAAATGAAGTTGCCTGTGGACAAAATCTGTTCGAATTTGTCAGTATGAAATTCAATTTTTTTTTTATTGAATTTGTACAATCTTTTGAAACAAGTCTTTAAAAACAAATTCAAAAGCCAACAAAATAACAATTCCATAAAAAATAACTTATAGACAATACGTTCTTATTTACTAGATTTCACTAGGCATGCTTGCATCATGTTCAAATTCAGTTTTGGTGTAAATATGCCCATTCAAGAGAATCTAGAATAAATCTCCCAAAACCAGTTGGTGTCCCTCCAATATATTTCAAACGTGACAGATATAATAAATTGAAATTACTTTCTTCTTGTTAGTCATAGACGACTTACAAAACGAACTTGGAATAACCAAAACTTAGCCTTTTTTGACAGTTTGATATATATATTATATATATATANTATAATTTATTCAATTTATTCAATAAATTTATTGCACTCCTACCGTATCAAACAAAAGGAAGAGATTGTCTCAAAAATATATTCTAATATATGAGTCACAAAAGGTATTCTCAATGTAGGCATATATCGTCGCCTGAATGTAAGTATTAGGTAACTCCAAATTTTGCAATTTCTAGTTCTCTACAATTGCATATAGTCGAGAACAAGCCGAATTTATTGTAATAAATTCGGCTTGTCAAAGTAATTTAACGACATCTATAGTAGACACTGTAAAAAATAGATAAAATAAAATACGTGCTCGTTGTCATGTCATAAATGGGTAACTGAAGACATCTATTTTTTTCAGAACGCTCAGAAGATCGTTTATAGTGCAAAAAGTAGATAATTCAAGATAGCAGTTCTTCAGTTCAGGTTCAGGTATTGACATTCGTAGGTTAGACCGGTAACGCGTTCCTTAGAGTAATAATGACATCCAGAGCGTCCAAAATTCAGAGTATGGTGACCATGAACCAAGCAAAAGGTAAGTAAGTGTTAAAATTTGAAACAGTAACAGTTTTTATAATGTTTTCATGAAGTTCGGTTATGGAATTATGTTGAGATACCTACTTTTTACATGTTATTTCAGATTTGAGTAATTTTGCAACTTTCGTGTATTTGATGTGAATTCTTAACGGTTTTAACTTTTTTTTTAGGTCTGGGTGAAAACATCATAGAGCCGGAGTCTATGAGCACTAGGTTGTACCACAATGAATTTAGGTCGGAACTAGACAATTTTTCCGAATCAGAATCGACTCATAGAGAATTTCCAGAAGTGTTTGTCGAAAACAAACAGAAGAGAGATCATACTCTGAAACATGGCTCAGCTCGTCTTCAACATGAATTGAGGAACGATTAGCTTCCACTTCCCGGACCGAGTCATGATGTGATACATCAAAAAAAAAGACACAGGAGGGTCAAGTTCAGAACGAAGTAATAATAACTCTGTAGAAGTTTTTCGAACGGTTGCTGGTGATGACGGTGTCAGTGATTTTTCTCCAGATGAATCTGAATATTTTCCTAGTCATACTTCTTCTGATTCTGAAGAAACAGATCTCAATAATAATTTTTCTGACTCTGAGGTATCAAACTCCAGAAATAACTTAGTAGGAATGGAGGAACATCCAGAAGTGACTAATAAGCCCAGAAGGAAAAGAAGAAATCCAGACAATTGGCCGAGAAATATTAGAAAAAAAGTAGACTTTTAGGAAAGGAATACATTACAACGATAGGGGAAATAAGACCAGCTATCCAAATGATGCTTCCTTGCAAGGAAACCTGCAGATGATGTCCCTATTTG